CGCCCATTCGATACAATGTTGCGGTTGACGTGGAATAGTAGCAAGTGTGCAAAGAGGGACTGCCGCGCGAGGAGCGTGCATATCCAGTTGGCATTCGATGCATGAGGTCATGGTTGGGAAGATGACACGTGCTTGGCCCTTGAAACCCTCTGTTCCTCCGTCGATTAACGGCTTCATCGAATCCGGGTCGTTCTCATCCACCATCCCCACCAAAGTTGCGTTGATCCATCGTCTCGCTTCTATGGAATCCAGACCGCATACGATAAGACCGAATTGCATGTAGTAGCTTTCGTCCTTGTCCTGGATTTTGCCACAGTAGGGAGTGATCTTGACGCCCTTAACACGCTTCTCGACGAAAGCAGCAGCTGTTTCGGCCTTGTATTTTCCCACATCCGAGGCGCGGAATAGGAATTGTCGGTTCAGGTTGCTGACGTCAATGGTGTCCATATCGATAACGTGAATGTCTTTGAATCCGGATAGGGCAAGATTCTTGAGGATTTCGCAACCTAGACCACCAGCTCCGCTAAAAGAATAGTTAGTAAAGACGCGACATGAGGGGCGGTCGTGCATTATCGTCGAGTATTGGTATAAACGTACATGACGCTGCAAATGGTTAGCTATGAGACCCTGCGCTTCGGAAACGTGATTTTCCTACAGAACTTTGAGATTACTCAGATACTCGATAACTTGTTCGCCGGCCATGAAAGCTTCATCATCTGTGAATGGGCCCTTGCGAGTAAGGAAGTTGTCCAGGTACTTCCTATTGCATGCTATCAGTCAAGAGCTCTTGCCTCTCTCATTATCCAGCTTACCATCTCGCTCGCGGGCTGCTTGTCGATGCCGCACTCATGTTATCGATGCTGACAGCCATCCTGTAGAAATGTGTGGAGAATGATTGTTGGCAGAGTCAAGGGCAGCAAACGGTGGTTGTAGGCATCAGAGCGTAGACGGTCTGCCAAGCCGCTAGTCTGTGGGCCCTCGCATGGGGAAGGAAACACCGATTGGGTAAGGTCCACTGAGCGTCTGCCTTTTGCATTGATCACGAATAGAGCAGGAACAACGACTCGTGTTTCCGTTGAATTGGTGTGGGCATAGACGCCTGAACACCTTTTCTAAACGCCATGGCCGACTTTCTCACGGCCGTATCCACCAGGAAAGTCAAAAAGGAAGAACCTCTCATTCAGGAAGTCAAGAGCTTGAGCATACAAGAAGATGTGGTTTCCATCAACTCCACAGAATCGGCACTTGAGGCACTCAAGAACCAACCCAGCCGCAACACCGTGAATGCTGTTTTGAGCTATCTTACCACTGAAGGGTTCAGCCTCCTACTACCAGAACCACTAAACGCAAGCATCGCGCATCAACTCATCAACGACACCATCCCGAATTACTGGAGAACTATCAAGGACGCCGACGAAGTTTCAAAGCTCGAGAAGATCCTCCGAAACCCAACATGTCTTGGACATCTTAACACGAGGCTTCGTTCGCTTATTCAGGACAGTCACCAGAAGAAGGCACCCGGTGAAGCGCGAAACACAGCTGAGCACATTGCGGACGCTCTCCAAGTCTTAATTCTAGTGTTGAGCCGCGACGAAACATCCCATCTCGTGTTGCAAGACGTTTTAGCTTTTGGGAAAACCCCAACACAAAGGAAACTCATTTGGAGAGAATACATCACGCAGGTGGCTTCCGGTCGGTTACTATCAATGGCAGCGGAGGCCGAAGATGTGCTCAAGAAGAGTGATGAGGCCCACCAAGACGCAAATTGGGTCGCGGATGGCAAGCAGTATGCAGCGTGGCTGGGACGCAACATCGCCGTCTCGCTCGAGCGCAACTCAGATAACGAGGAGTATCTTGCCGCCATTGTTGAGTTATGTTCGAAATCGCTAGGATTGGGGTACACCGGTACGTCAAAACTCTGTCAAGGTCTGTTGATACATACTGACAATACAGATCATATCATGAGCGCCCTTGTTCCGACATTGATTGGTAGCGGGGCCATTGAGCGCTTGCCTGATCTTTTGTCCCAGATGAAAACGTTCGAGCAACGGAAGTATCACAACGCTATAGTCGCATTCGTGGCGAAGAAGTATTTCTCTACGGAGACTGCTAGTAAAGACGACGCCCCCATTGCAACATCTGTCACCATATCATCTGCCGCCGCTCTGTTTTCCATGCTCATCAAGGACAATGACGTCCTGAAAGAGCAGCTCGTGACATCACTTACGCGGTCAACGGTTCCTGCGCTTGATGACTCCCTATCAGCCAGGCGAAGTGTTCTAGCTGCGTTGGCCAAAGATGAGGGTCCGTAATCATCATACGCCCATTGATAGTCAACGCTGACGATATCTAGACAAGCTATATACTCTTCTGGAGGGTCTCATAAAGATGTTTGGCGATTCAGTATACATCAGGCACACACCTGTGGTGCAACAAGAAGGTATTTTGTATTTGCACTCTATCGCTATCCCTCACTAATGTACTCTAGCTCTTTCTCAGACCTTGGCCATGTGCAGTGGCTATGTAAAGCGTTCCCAGCCCATGTTCCTCACTATGATGGCAAAGTCAACCCATCACGTCAATGGCATGTCAAATCGCATAGGAGCGGCATCTACAAGGGCTCGCTTTCTAGGTATCGCAGTTGGTGTTGCTATCTCGAAGATGGTGGACAAACCGGAACTTCAGCTTAAGTTTGAGTTGGAGGGTAGCGAGGCAGAAGAAGCAAGCTGGTATCAACGCCTTACTGAGGTCGACGATAAGATTGGAGAAGTCACGAATCTTGCCACTAAACAGGATACTGTGGCGAGCACGAAGAGAGTTCAATCGAAGCCCAAGCCGCCTCCCAAGGTATCCAAAGCTTCCGGGATTACCGAGATACAAGGCCCAAGGGTTGTGAAGGTCTTGTCCGACTCCGAGGATGAGGATGCAGATCTGATAGTGTACGAGAAGCCAGACTCCGACCCAGAAGACGATACAGACGATGCAACGGCTATAAATCGTAACAAGCCCACCGCGCCGGTCTACATCCGAGACCTGATAGCAGGGCTGCGCGACCAAGAGAACTACGATCGCCACGAACTCGCTTTAGCCACAGCAGCATCATTGATTCGCCGAAAAGCGAACTTTGGAACTGAAGTCATCGATCATCTCGAAGAACTAGCCACTTTGCTTACGGGATTGCAAGACAACTCGGAGCTTGAAGGTTTCGCGCAGCAACGGCAACAAGCCTTGATTGCTGTGCTCCTTGCAAAACCAGCGCAGATGGCACAATGGTTCGCTCGATCCTTCTTCTCAGGTGACTACAGTCTGCAACAACGCATCGCCATGCTCACGACTCTCGGCCTCGGGGCGCGTGAGTTGGCGGGCATGAAGGACACATCGACCGACGATTTGGTGCCTGCAAAGCCCGACTTTCCTAGCAAACAGCTTCCGCCACACCTTCACAAGATGTACGCTGAGGAGAACAAGGCGCCTACAGTAGCCAAGATTTCAAGCAGCATGGTGCGTGAGATGCTATCGCCTATGGCTAGTCAAGCAGCCGATCAGCTCAGCGGCCCGAACATACTCAAAGTCCGAACATTCTCTTCGCGCATGGAAGTCGAAAAGAAGCGACACAAGCCAATACCTAACGCGCTTGCGCAGATTGTGGCAGATAACTTCTTCTTCCCACTCACGGGCCGTTGGTGGCTGCAGATTCGCGCGAACAACGACTCGATATACGCGTCTACTCACCTTCTCCCACCCTTTCTGCAGACTCTGTCGTTGTTGCTTAACGCGTCCGGCCCGAACACGCTCGCGTTGCCGCAGATGACGCGCGAGTATTGGGATCTGCTACTGTCGGTGCGCGGGCTGGCGAGTAAGGATAAGAATATCCTGAACGCGGTTTTGTTCGGCTTTCTGATGCTGTTGGAGACGAACGAGAACAAGGAGCGTGTGGCTACGGAGCAAGGCAAGGAGCTGATGGAGACGCAGGCCTGGGTGAGGATGGTCTTCGAGGGTCTAGGGGCGGGGAGCGAGGAGGACGAGAGGGTGCGCGTGTTGGCTGCTGGCGTGGTGGTTCGTTGTCAGGAGGTGATTGAGAAATACCAGAGGAGGCTGGCGGGCGAACTGATGAATTATTAGCGCGTATATGTAAATTCCACAGTTGCGAACTGAGACTCCGAGCGACTGACGCGGTGAAACCTCAAAATTTTAAGATTTAAAACTTCAGCCAGACTGCTACCTGGGCTCAAGATGATGACCGAACGTTATATATACGTAGGGTAGAAAGATACATCTTCTTGGGAACTGTTGACCTGGTCTGACACAATACCATGGGTGCAGCAAATCGATGCGAAGATCTTCTTCCTCAAGACACTGCATAGAGCAATGTCATCAATGAAAAAGCAACACAGATGTGTGACCAGCAAAAATTGCCCCGCCGAGATTCCCGAAGGAAGCTCGTGAGAACCCAGTACCGCGTTGTGCAATGCAGACCAGGCGCTCAGATTAACCTAATCTTTGAGCTAGGTAATCGCAAGAAGGTCTAAGATTGTTAGCAGGTGTACTTCGTAAACGTAGGGGGGTGGTTAGGGAATACGAACAAGTATTCAGAGCTTGGGAGGGACGGGGGCAGCGCAGTTTAAGTAGCCGGTTAGTCTTGGCACGCTAGAGGTCACGTGAAAGAGCACAGACGCTTTGAAGAGCTTTATAGACGCTTTATCCTCGCTTAACGGCTAGACTCCGGCGCTGAGTGGTGTCCGAGCTGTGAAGTTCTCTCACCTTGATCTTCTTCACTGCTTGTCATTGCATGCCATGACAGGCATGTTCCAGAGAAAGGTAAGTTCAGCGCTCTCAATTTATACACACCCTTTCCTATGATGATCCAAAACAACCTTAGAACCGTTGCGAATGACGCCTTCGGGCGGTTGACTTCACCATACCCTTTACTGAACCACTCTCTACTACAAACTTGTTACAAAGCATTGTCAGCGACTCCTAGCTAACACGAAAAAGGAACCATGAGTCGCCCAGTCCTCAACTTTCTCCGCCCATACCTTCACCAGGCTAGTCGCTCCGTTAAACCGGAACATGCTCGAGCGTATCTCGCTATCCAGCGGCGCTTTGCTCAGAGCCTAGCCGCCGACGCATACACCGGCCCGCATGACGTCGAGAAGCAGAAGCGCCTGGAGCACTTGGGCAAGGTAAAGCCGTTGGGCGATTACCACCCTAGGTTGGTCCACTCTGCGGATACTCAGAACTTGTCCATACGCGACTTCAACGCCAAGTACGATGGCATCCAGGAGACGAAGGAGGACCTTGTGTCTGTGTTTGGTAGGGTGCACCACCCATGAGCACCAGTCTGGTTCTGACAATGTCAGGAAGGGTGCGCTCAGTGCGGCTGCTCGGCTCCAAGTTGATGTTCCTCGATATCGAACGCGACACCCAGCGACTGCAAGTCATGGTGGAGCTCAAGAAGCTCACGCCGCAGGATGGCTTAGATGAGAGCTTCAAGAGCTTCAAGAAGATTGCCAGAATTGGCGATTGGGTGTGTAAGTAGATATATCATTCAGCTTCAGATCAGGCTCTGATTTCATATAGCTATTGAAGGCAACCCTACAAAGACATCTACTGGGCAACTCTCAGTCCTTGCGCTTGATGTGCCTCAGATCCTAGCGCCATGCCTTCACCACCTCCCAGAGAGGATTGACGATGCCGAGACACTCGCCCGACGGCCGCACATTCATGCGCTCACGAGCGACGAGCCTGGAGATGTCCTTCGACTCCGGGCGCTGATCTACGACTACGTGCGCACATACTTTATACAGAGCGGGTTCCTAGAAGTGGAGACACCCATGTTCGACGTCAACGCTGGAGGTGCTATTGCGCGACCCTTCGAGACAGTCGCAAATGAAGTGTCCAACACCCCTGTGCGGCTTAGGATAGCACCTGAGCTCAACCTCAAGCGATTGATTGTTGGGGGTCAAGACAAGATCTTCGAGATCGGACGCGCCTTCAGAAACGAGGGTGTCGACAACACGCATAACCCAGAGTTCTCGACTTGCGAGTTCTACGAAGTTGGCGCGACCCTACCCACTGTCGTCGCCAGGACAGAGCAACTGGTACACGGACTCCATACTGCGATCGAGTCGCTAAGGCCGACGTACTTCCCTACCCTAGCGGCGCCGGAAGATATCGACTTCGCACAGCCCTTCGCTCAGCTTCCCTTCATACCCACTATCGAGCAAGCCTGTAGTCGCAAGCTGCCTGATCTGTTATCACCGAATGCTTCCAAGGAACTGCTTCAGCTGTTTGACGACCTTGAACTCACCGCTCTGCCCAACCCCACACTTCCACGTCTTCTCGACGCTCTTGCTGAGATATACATCGAGCCGCTGTGCAAGAATCCCACTTTCATCACTCAGCACCCTGAAGCGCTCTCTCCACTCTCAAAGTCTTATCTTGACGAGGCTACTGGACAACGCGTTGCATCTCGCGTGGAACTGTTTATCCATGGCCGCGAATACGTCAACGCATACGAAGAGGAAAATTCTCCGTTTGAACAGCGTCGCAAGTTCATGCAGCAGCGTGATTTCCACCCCGAGGGTGAAGGCGCTATTGACGAAAGTTATCTCGAGGCGCTGGAGTGGGGTATGCCTCCCACTGGTGGATGGGGTTGTGGGTTGGATAGATTGGTCATGCTGTTCGCTAGTAAGAAGAGGATAGCAGACGTGCTGCCTTTCGGTACATTGCGAAACGTAGTTAGCATTTCCAAGACGAAGTGAAGTGCTTCGCTTTTCAATAGAGGAACTATTCGTGCAGCTCTCTCCCACCACTGAGATGACAGGAATCGTGACGCTTGCCGCCTGCCGCTTACATTCTGCTATGCTCTTCTTGGTAGACTGTGTGCAATTTGATGTGTGTCTACACTTGTATATTATAATGTATTTAATATAACGTTGCTCTTTTGCAGGTGTCTGATGCGAGACCAATTGTTCAGCTTCGAAATTTGGGAGCCTGGTACGCTTAGACCCGAACATAGGGCACACGCAACCCACGCGTACCCACAATCGCACATCGTCGCACGCCATTGAACAATCCGATGTATGCAGGAAACTCCCAAGGGTTGTGTCGTGGTGCTCCATCGTTACAGTGGTTGAGGGACGCCCTCAACTATAGCCAGCCGCCGTCAGCATGGCTTGAGGCGTTGTTTCAGGCGCCCAGCAGCCCGCGGCTGCAGTCAACAGGCACCCGCTCCTTCAGACGCTCGCCCTTTACGCTTGCCTCACAAACTTCGCGTAGTCTGCTTCTTACTAAGACATGTTCTGCTTCTGTTGATCATTCTCGTTGATATCTTCCCCGAAGGTTCCCGTTTTCTGGGGTAATGCGCGTTGCGCATAGCGCGTACTGTACAACAACGCCCCGTGTTGATTAACATGTTTTGGGATGGGGCGAAATCTTGCAGATCTTCCTATACTTGAAGACGTCAGCCCTACTCCCTACTGCGCTGCTCATCCCAAGACGTCAGCTTAGCAGGAAATACCATGTCGTCGCCGATTCCTAATTCCCAATGGCAGGGCTGGGAGACACATCGGCAACAGCAGTCGCCGCCGCAACAGCCATACAACAGATACTCGCAGGCCTCTTCGCCCAACCACTCATACTATGGACACTATGCACCTGCGCCAGCATCATATATTCAACCACACTACAGCGAAGATGCGCCAGTGCCTTTTATCGCAGAGCTGCCAGCGCCCTTGCCTCCAGCTCCACCAACTACGACGTCTGAGGAGCAATTGAAGCAAGATGAGCTGCTCGCGCATAGGATGCAGCATTTGGAGGTGGAAGGGGTTCGAAAGAGATCGCTTAGTGCAGTAAGCCAACAGGAACGCCCTGCCAGTATGATGCCGCCCAGCTCCCAGCGTCTGTCACCACTCCTACATCAACAGCGATCTGCGCAAGCTTTGCGGTTACATTCAAAGAGTGTTTCATCCTTCGTCGATCAGAGACCAGTAAGCATGGCGCCAGTGACCACCCAGCTTGCGCCTCTACCTCTGGCTCATCAACGCTCTGCACAATCGCTTCGACCTCATTCGAGAAGTGTCGGAGCGGCCGCCGAACCATGGAGTCCTGGATCGTTCGAACAAGCGCGAGATCCAAATATATTCAGCACCTTACCGGAAGTGGTTGTAGAGCAGCATCCGGATAAAGATCTCGAGTCACCGCTTGAGGATTTACCAATTCCAGTCTTGCTGGATCAGCAGCCCACGGAACGACTACAACAACCCATAAGACGTCCATCAGTCGCATTAGAATCAATGTCGTTACCTGGGTATCTCGAGCAGTACCGCCAAGCACCGTATCCGCCTCAGTGGAGTCTTCCACCCGTTGTTTCTACACTGCATGCTTACCAGGAGAGCAAACGGTCATCCGGGTCCAGCTGGCTGGATACGCCAGAGTCGTGTGCATGGCGAACAATACGCCCCTCTGAACATGCACGTAATCCTGTTCCACCGGCATATACGTTCAAATTCAAAAGTACGACTGGCAGCTTCCGCAGCCCAAAATTCTCGTGGATAATGACGTGTCCCGAAGAGCCCACTGAATCGGGGAAGAAGGTTTCGAAAGCACAGCAGACCACATGGGCTTATGAGCTTAAGCTGGACCCCAGGACCAACTTACGAAAGTCGGAAGTCTTACTCCAAGGTGGCCCAAACGCAAGATCTATTCTGACAACTTACGTGCATGCGCTGAATTACGACTCACTGCGTTTCATCGGTCCAGACGGACGCGCATATATGTGGGTCACAAGCACCAAGGTTTCCTCCATCCACGGTTCACGCTACGACACGCTGAGACATGCGCTCTTCGCCGCGATAGGGAATAATCCTGATCCGCTGTATGGTGGTATCGTGGCAGATCACTGCTTCTGGGACGGACATGTCGATGCAAGCGGAGGTTATGTCCCTGATGAATCTGCCTACATACGTCAGACGACTGTGGACCCGGCACTTGTCGTAGCGACGTTGCAGGTGATGAAAGAATGGGAAAAGCATACACTCAGACAAGAGAAAAGGAAGAACTACAAAGCCTTTTCTGCAGCTGAAGAAGAAGCCCGGAGATGTGAACTTGGGGCCTCTAGCTATTGGCAAACGTGAGAGGTCTTACAACATCAGGCGCGCATAGCCAAGTCTAACTCATCAAATCCTGGTATCAAATTGGGGGATATTCGCTGGATGGTTACCGCGACGCGTCCGTGTAGGAAGATTTTCCCAGCCACATGCTCGGCTCCAGACTCGTACTGCACTTTATCTGCGCTAGTGTGTAATACCTCGCGTTGCTTGTTGAGCGATGTGCGACTGTGGCTGCCTCAAACTGGAAGCTGTACCAGGATGTGAAAGGAAACACTGGTACTACCGTATATATTCTGCTTCCTGATAAGATGTTCGAGAGTTCTTCTGAGGGTGGTCTGAAGGAGCGGCTCGACGCGCTCGTTCGTGTTATTCTGTTTGCCGAGAGCTTCTAAATAAGAGTTCGCACTGCGAATACGAAGCCCTCCGGCCGGAAGGCGACCGTCAAGGCTGGTTTTCGTGCATCGATATCGACTGCGCATCGAAACATCTTTGATTTGCTTATATCCAGACGTCACTTTGTCGTAGAGTATCGCAAAACAATGTTGTGGTACTGATAACAACAACCCTGATATTTCACACAATGCATTTTGTGAAGACTACACAAAGTACATGCTCAATGGAAGTATACGTAATCCTCCTATGTCTTCGTCTAGTCCTTTATCACTCTGGTACTCGAGAGTCTGCTCAGCCTCTGGACGCCATCAGCACCCTTGCGCTCAGATTACCATCCTGCAATCGGTTCCGGTGATCGGTGAAAGCAGGATCTCGAATTTAGTTCCGCGTCGATATCCTAACACATAAGCCAAACTCAATACCATGAGTTCTTCGGCTGCGCCTCGACATGCAAGCGCCTCTGGTAGACGGTTAACTCCTCCTCGGTTTGAAGAATTTGAATTGCCTTCGACCTTTGAGTCACTTACACCTTTACGTCAATATACCTCTGCATCCGTTATCGAGGAGACAGAGAATGGAAACGACTACCTGGATGTCCTTGCAGAAGTCACTGACGCCGACGAAATCTTCGCCGAGCAGTGGGAATCTGGAGCAACCGAGCAGTCTACAACGCCTCCACTAAAGCGCATCGATTCCTTCGATTTCGTTTCGGGAGGAGTCAATGAGCCATCATCGATAGCAAAGACCCGGACAATGTCGACTATTACTACATTGGAGCCAGTCAAAGAGGACACGCAGCCGGCCTGCGCTTCTTTCTGCAGGGCTCCTGCGTATGTGGAGCTGCTTTTCGATGCAGAGACTCCGTATGCCAGTGACGAAGATCTAGCTCTCCGCAGTGTGTTTACTACTGGCTCTTTGCCTGAGGTATCGACGTATCCGCTGTTACACCGGCAGGAACGTTTGCTGACTCCAGATCTTCTCGACACCAGTGATCTGAAACTTCAACCGTCCCTGACAGTGCATGAATCACACGATCATGTATCAGTGGCCTCCGACTTCAACACTTCTCCGATCTTTCGCGAAGATCGATATACCATGCCTGAGCTTCCATGTAGCCGTCCAGGCCGGTCTTTGACGCACCCATCCCTGTCGGCTACGGAGGGAGATGTAGCTACTCAGGAGCACTGGCAACTCGAGCACGACCCCGTTCTCCGATATGCTACTAATCATTCATTCCTTCCGGGACGAGAGTCTCTTCGTAACATCACCACCTGCTCTTTAACTGTCGAATACGACCGCGATATCGAAGACCTCTATCGCGCAACTGCTTGCTTCCTTGGCGACTGCCATGATGGCGAGTGTACCTGTTTGGACAACAAGAGAGGTACTCGTTGTGTGCCAGGAGAAAATTTCGTTCTCGCTGACAAGTACGATGACTTCAGTCTATCGTCGAGGTATCCCACGGCAAAAGACATTTTTGAGCTCATAGACGAGCTAGTTGATGTGGACATGTTCGACGTGGAAGATGACTTTGGGAACATCACGAAACAACCACCGGTCCTTCTAGACACTTCCTTCACCTCTTCACCAGATATGGACGCCTTTGTCGCATGCGGCCCGCTGCTGTACTCACCTACTTTGGACGATGTCTCAGATGTGTGTGACAAGGACAATGTCTCAGAGACATCGGAGACAAACGAAGAACCAGGTTTGTCACCACCTCGGTACGCTGAAATAGCATATGTCGATGCTGAAACGCACAAATGCGTCGCGTATACCGCTTTGAACCAATTATTATCGATGCAAGAAGACCGACCGCGTCCGGTGATTCACCGAGACATCCCCGATGATGAGGATTACGACTCAGCTGAGCTGAAGGAACACAGCTGTCTCAATCTAGAAGATCAAGACCGCAAGTCCCGGCTATCGCTACGAGATGACCCTTGTCCGAGCAGATTCTGGTCTGATTTCACATCAGGTATTGGCCACCCACCAGCACCGCCACAGACCAGTCTTCAACGCCAGTCAGCTGTGCGCCAACAGTGTCTACCGTTTGGGCTGTACTCCAGCAATCTGCCTCACCATCAACGTCGCTTTCCACAGCTGACACTTGCTACTCAGCTCGTGCCTGCATCAGAGCCTTTGTCCACGGTCGACGAGGAACAGCTGTCTTGGTCCAGCCCGTCTTCCTCAGGAGACTCTATCGGCTTTGCTGATTACCAGGGGTTTGCGAAACCCCTTGAGGAGCGCCAACAAGG